TGGCATTTGCACAATTTACTAGATAATTGCCTCTTACATCGGAAAAGGAGTTTAGCTGCTTTAAACTGGCAGCACCCAAAAATTTTGTTGGAGATTTTGGAAAAGGTTTTTTACAAATAAAAAGATATGTCACAATAACAAACCAAACAAACCTTAAGTCTATCTCTGGACGCAGAGGAAGTTATGCTGATCTACGATCCGTCATCAGTTAAAAGATAAATAAATGATAATCATTCTAGTATAGTTAAAGCTTAGTGTGGGGTAGGGATAAGCCCCCCAACCACAAAAGAGTAAAAGTGCGTAATAGCATTAAATCAAACCACAACAACAACAACAACAATAGTAAAAATATGAAATTGACAGTTGAGTTTTGGCTGCGTGCATAACATGCTTTCATTGCCATATCGGAAAAGAGTGTAATATTAAAGTGATTATCATATGATTATCTGTATAATACATAACTATGTATAATATATATAACTAACTCCGAGTGACGAAATAATCAAATCTTTCATTGAAATAGCTGTATTAAGACTTCTTTATCTGTATGAAGAACGATTTAAGCTTGAGATCTCATGAGACTGAATGATGGCAGAAATGTGTATTATGAATCTGGAGTATATAGTTTATCTGAAGTATAAGTCATTCAACATTTCAAATTTATAAGCAAATTGATTTCTAAATCAAAATTAAAAAAAGAAATAATATGAATAATATGATTTCGTTCTAATATATAAATACAGCAAGTAAAATTGTTAATAAAAACTTTCATAGCAAAAGTAACAAAACTCCAGCAAAAACATGCGAACAAAAAAGTCAAGTACGGCTTTGGATCAGTTGGTTAAGGTGCGCTGATTCTGAGCTTCACATTTGGCAGGACCCGAGTTCGATTCCTGGTACTTGCAGTCTCAAAAATAATTATTTACGAATCATTAAATACAAGAATTATTTCCAAGACCACTGATGAAGGGTATTTGGCAATACTCGAAACAGCTGTATGGTCAGCCAAAAATTCAATTAATTAAAATAATTTAAAATATAAATTTTTGTTGTTGTTTCACTTCTGTTCGAAAACCTCTTTATAAAATAAATAAATAAAAATATTATTCTGCAAATATTTTTAAAAATCTAAATAAAATAAAATTATTTTCCATAACAGGTGCAAAGTATTTAGCTAGTTTGGAATAAAAATGTTTGCATATCGTATCTATATTAGAGTGAGATCTTAGCATTAAAACAAAGAAAAGTATTATTATTCGAACTAAGTTTGTAAAGCGCGCTTTTATCGATATTCCTTTTTGATTGAAGCTGTTCATATTTAAATAATTAAAAAAAATTAAATAAATTAAATGAATTTAAAAATTTAAATATTAAAGATATTACTCATGAAATAATTAATTAAATAATTAGTAACTTTAAAAAACCAATTAAAAGATTATAGAAACTATGTGAACATGAATTAAAATTCATTTAGTAAATTAAAGTTTCAGAAATTTCCTTTGACTTTATACCAAGTAACTCAATCTGCATCCTAATTGAGGTACACACAAACTCTGTTATTCTGTTTGTAGTCCTGTTGCTCTAAGTCTTCATAAAAGCACTTTTAATTAAAATTAATGCGATTCAGTGAATCATTTAAGTTTCTTACCTATTCACAAAATAAATGAAAAGTCCTTTCGCACTCAGGCGAATATAATTTAACTGAAAATTGTTACAACTGATAAGACTTAGATGAGAATTACTTATAATTTCATTTAAATATTTTATTGAAACATGAATGAGAAAAACACAGCATACAAATAGAGGAATTAAAGAATTCGGAATATTCTAATAGAATCAAAAACGTGCGGATTTTTTCATAAAATAAATAGCAAATCTTCTCTTTAATTATTTATTGTGTTGAACCAAACTAAATATTTGCAAACATTAAAATAAATTTTCAAATTGCAATTAAGTTTTTTCATTTATGAATATTATTTATTGTGAGACAGTTGATGCTATTGCTAAAAATGGGGCAAAACTTTCAGAGGAATAAAGGAGCGAAGTACTCAGACCTCTGAAACAAATACATAAACTTCTTGACGAGCAGATGATAAGGAGTGCAAAGGAAAGGTGGCGAAATACACCAAGGATGTTATATCGTCTAGCCGAAGAAACTGCAGAACATTAATTGGTGTATTGACAGGTCACTGTCTGGTCTGGTCGCATCTCATGCATACAAACTAAACCTAATTCACAGCGATGTTTATAGAAAATGCAACGAGCCGGATGCAAAGGAAAATCTAGAGCATCTGTTGTGTAACTGCTCGGCTTTCTCGAGAACTCAACATAAATACTTGGAGGCTGTCAGTTTTACCGGACATACCTGAGGTTTCGTTAAACTCCTAATAAAATTCATTAATAAAACAAGCATGCTAAATGATGCACACAATCGCTAAAATAAGACTGTAATCTGGTAACGCAATGGACTATAATGGTCTATACGTGGCTCTTTTGGTCTGCCAGCATAATTTAATCTAATCTATTATTTATTATACAATTCTAGTTTTTAGAAAACAGAAAAACAGATCACTGTGTACTTTCAACCGCACCTGAGACATGTTATTCAGAATTGCATTAATAATTTATTACAGTAAACATCTAGCATCTAGTTCCAATAGTCATATATAAATAGTCATATAAAAGAAAACATGTCTATACATAGTATTTTAAATAGTTACAAAACATCAATATTTTGTATGGAATACCTCTGAAAATGAGTTCTAAACTTATACAAAATAAATTCCTTACACATAATAGATATATTTCACAAAATGTCAAATCCAGATTATAATAGAAATTTTTAAATAGTAGTCTGTGAAGGATATTAAAAATTTAAGTTCTAACATAAAAAATTAAATTTTTCATTAAAAAATTTTGATATCGACTTCGAGTCAAGAAAAATATAATTTTTTCATCAAACATTACGACGGCAAGTTATGAGTAAAATGGAGAAAAGGGAATACAGAGGACGCATAGTCAGTGCTAGACCAGCATATACAGCAGCTTTCCAAACAAAACCGAAGATAACTACTGAAAAGAAATCAAAGACATCTCGTAATTCAACAGATTTTCATAATTTTTCAGCAAAACCTCCCATACCGAATAAGGGTATTTGCCACAAAACTGTAATGCCTTCAAAGAGCGGAGTTACTTATACAAAACGAAAGGGAAAAGGAGAGCGCATGGAGAGACTGTGGCAGAGCCAGTCACAGCCAGATTCTTTGGTGGAACCTACGCAAGGATCATCAAACGAAGATTCACAACCTTTACAATCGTTAAGACGATCAGCAACTTATGTTATACAAAAATGGAAAACTAATGCTAAAGAGAATAAAGAAATACAACTAAATAGACCCTTGTACAATATTTTCATAGGACCTCATCAAAAATCTTCAACGATTTCTCAGAATAGAGAAAATATTGAGTTTAACAATATAGTAATATTAAAACGCCCAGTTAGTTTTAGTAAGCTACAAAGCAAAATACAAGCTTCACAAAAATCTAAAATTCCAATAAACATAATATACCTTAAGCCTTATAAAAACTGGACAGACATTTGCGAACTGACAGAAAGAATTATAGCAGAAGAGAGGAGAATGTCTACAATGTCTCAAGCTAAAAATATGAAATACGAGACTGAATATGATATGGTACCGACCTTAAAGCGGTCAGCGACTTATATCATTCGCAGAGGAAAACCAGAAACTGATAATAAACCAAGCGACGAATTGAAAATTTCGCAAATATCTACAATTGTCACTACCAACAAAGTTGCTGAGTTAAAAAATTCAGAACTCAAGCAGGTGATGACATGTTGTAAACAGAAAGATGAAATTGCAGCAGAACAAGCAGAGAAAACACAATTTGTTGAGGTGATGCAAGATTGTTTAATAGAAGATCAGCCAACAACGATAGATACTTCACCAAATGAATCCGATGTTGGCTACGAGATGGTACCGAAACTAAGGCGATCAGAGACGTATACTATATCAAGAGGAAAAATAGGAAGCAATCTTACAATAGAAGATAATATAAAAAGTCCACATAAGTCTAAAATTCCCAGAAGCATAATAGGCATTGGATTGAAGAAAATGGAGGTCTTAAAACGAATAGTTACCTTCGCGAAACAAAAAGGAAAAATGGAAGCTCAGTGGATGGGGAAAAAGAAAATTAATGAGTTATATCTAAATTCTGTTGAAGAACCTGCAAAACAAAAACCTACCCGCAACAGAATGGATAATAAATCACAGAATGTATCAATTTTAAAAGGGTCAAGGACTTATACTAAGTATAAGCCACGAAGCAGCAGAAATTGATAATAACATAATAGGTGAGGTAATAACTTTACACATTTTTATAGCTCATGAGTCTATTTGTCTAATGTACGAAATACTTGTTATTTTTCAGAGGACGTTATAATTTGTAAAACCATCAATATACAAAAGTATATAATAATATTTTCTCTTAAGATAGTATACTGTTCTCGCCAATAGTTTTTTCCTCACAATAGAATAGAAGTGGTGAAACACAAGTTAATATAACTAAATGCTAATTTGTTAAGGAAGGAACTGGCTCTGGATACTGCCAAAAAAGACTTGGATAGGATTAATTATTATATGGTTTAAGATTTATAGTATTTAAACACGATATGCTTTATTGTTAAGGATTTTGTTTATATTTTTGTATTTTTTTTAATGTTATATTTTAGAAATAAAGATTATTTATATTGTCAATAATATAGAACATTCAATATGTTTTAGGTCATGCAAGTCACTACATTATATCAAAACAGGATTATTTAAAAAAACAACAAATTAGTTTTAACAAAACCGTTTTTCGATCGATGCAATCGATTGAGAACAGAATAATAATATTTATGTTGTAAGTTTTCTAAATTAAATCTTAGAAATTTTATGTTTTTTTAAAACAAAAAAACGATTTAGTCAGTGCGCAGAACTCTAGTGAAATTAGTTGGATTTTCCGACAACCATTTCAATGTAAAAAGTATCAGGAACCTATAATTTGAAAATCAATCCTAAAAGATACTCCCACAATTTTTTTTTATCGATATGGTGGTAACTGTGTATTATGCTATCAAACTAGATTTGAACACAATAGTTCAAATATAACAGCATTATATTCACTTCATTCGTTTCTGCGATTATACCTTTGAGTGTTCTGCGATGGCAAAAACTTATACCTCTCAATAGTTCTGGGCATAGGAACTCAAAAAATGTTTTTTGTGTGTATTTTTTTTGTATTCGTGAAATTAGTCTTATAGTTCTAAAGAGTCGATTGTGGTTGTAAAATAAATCAAGCAAAAAGACTTCGCTAAAGGATTTAAGTAACATATCTCAATAAGATTATGAAAAATGAATGCAAACTCTAATGGCACTTTAACGATTTTTCAGACCCACTCTTTTAAAAACAAATTTTAATAAAAGTAGCAATTTAGAACAAGATATTCCATTACTCAGTAAATAGTTTAGTAAAAACTAGATGCGTCCAATATTATTTCAAGACATTTGAGTAATAAAGAGTAAAAATTACGTATACTAGTTGGAGTTTGTTATCCAGTGTAACCTTTGTTGTATAATGAATGAAAACATAACCCCGATATTTAGAGAAAAAAGCTATTTAAATATTTACTAATTGAAGTCTGATGTCTTGTGTATCATTTATTGTGTAGTAAATTTAAAACTTAACATCGATATTTATTACACTTCAATAAATGTAATAAATTTAAAATATAACCCCGGTATCACGAAAAAAAAGCTGTTTGGACATTCAGAGTAGAGGAGATAGCTGAAATTAGACCCTACGCGGGGATCATCACCAAATCGGCGTACCCTGGAAATTAAAATCGCACCAAATAAATTTTGATATGTTGATGGTTTTCTTATGTTTTATTCAATTATTTTAGATAATTTCTTTACAGAAGATTAGAAGTTTTTAGCTGAACTTGAGTACGTCAACATTTTTAATAATACTGAAGGAGTACAATATTAAATTTTAAACTTCATTTTTATTTATGACATTTTTTTAGAGAACTTTAAAGTCCAATCTGTCCAAACAAGCACAACTTAACTTAACAACTTAATAAAAAATTAAGAAAAAAATCTATTCAATATATAATTTTAAACGTGGTTTTTGGTTCTTTTCTGTCGGCAATATATGTACCTAACTTGTAGCTTAAGTACTTGAAGAAAATATTTATTAAAAGAAGAAACGAAAAATAAAAAAAAATTGGTTTGATTAAATTATCTTATCATTTTTATGCATAACAAAAACATAAGACAATTCAGATACATATGAGCAGTAGCTCCTTATTGCTTCCTTAAGACGTAGCAACACGTTCAGGGCATAAAGAAAATTTTATTAATAAGCAACAAAACAACAAAACTACGTGACATTGCGTCGAGCACATTTTTCACCAATGTACCAGAACCAGAACCACTGGAACACCAATCTGTAAGCTCTGACGTACACTCATCTACGGTAACAGCGAACTTACCTTGCACGATTAATTTGGCATAACTGGACTCTCGAGTGGCAACCAAATTTTGTACGATACACTTATAGTTGCCCTCATCAATTGGTTCGACGTTGCTTATCAATAAATTGCCACCATCGACAACGCGTATACGTGATGTGGTTCCATAAGATTTCGGAGTTAAGTCATCCAGTCGTACACCATCCTGCAAAAATTCAAGTGAAATGTTATAGATTGAAAAAATAATTCTTTTTTTTTTTTATATATATAAAATAAATTCGTTAACAATTTTTTTTATTTTTTTTCGCAACGTTTAGCTTAAATTAGTTAAATTGGCAGCACTTCAGAATATAAAAGTTTAGTTTATTTTTATTTTTATTTTATTTTTTATTGTTTATCTTAGGATCACATAAAATTTATTTATTTTTTTTTTATGTTTTTATGTTTGCTCTTAACGCACTCAACAGCAAATTAATAAGTTGCGGAAGTGTTGTACTAAGGAGGCTTCGTAGGCAGTTAATTAGGTGCGTAGCGCTAAGTAAACCCACACATTAACGCCATGGCAACATTGAAGCTCAAGCGCTTAATTAAAAGGATATGCGTACTAACATACATTGTTACGCCTTCGAAGGGAAGTGCGTGTATATAAACATTGCGAAAAATAATTAGATATTTGTTTTGAATACAAATTATGGAAATTAACATAATATATATGTATATATAGAATTGTAATTAATTAAGGTGCAAATATATAACATACACACATTATATATGCAATATATATGTACGATTACATATATACAATTATAATGAAAGATCATTGCTATTTACTATTAAATATAGTATGAAATAGACGTTCAGTTAATACCGCTTTAACTTTTACTATTTTACTTAGTAAGGGAAATATTATTTAGTAACTAAGCAAGTCGAAAAAATGTGGAAGATTTACGAGAAATAAAATAAAATAAATAATATTAATAATATTATTAACGAAACAGAAGTTACAAATTAAAATGGAAATATCTGTTTCACATTATCGAAATATAGTTAAAATTCGGCAGAATGTCTTAGCTGTAAGGTCTATCTATATAAAATATAATTGTTATGAATTTCTATGTAATACAAAATTTAAAATGAAGTGAAACAAAGCTAAAAATACTACTACTAAATAAAATTCAACTTCAATTGCAAATTCTATTGCTTAAGTTGAGCAACGTACTTCCCCCCTCCTCATCTAATAACAGTCTATATAAAAGCGTTAATGATATGTATATCTGTTTAGCTATGTAAAAGCTTTCAAAGCGGTAGAGAGCCATTGTTAACGGTTTCATAGTAATTTATACTTATAATAACTATTGTAAAGACGGTACTAATAGAACTATTACAGTCTACTACAAAGAATTAATTGTAAGTCCATTTTGGATTTTCGATTAAAAGTATATGCAAATCTTTTTACTGTAGTATGTTAATAACGACTTCTTACGCAAGTTAAAGTGTGACAACTATTTTCATAAATAAGCTTAAAGCTCTATTCTTTGCATATATTTTAGTCGGGGCTACGCAGACAGTTACCACAATGCTTTTAGCTCCAAGGCACTATAGCTATAATACTAAAAGTGATTTTATTTCTTTTTGAAGTCAGTAAAAAGTTGTATGGTTTACTAATAATATATCAACTTTGTTTTTTTTTATTCGTATTTTTGGTGCTATTAGGTATGACTTTGACTGTTGCTTATTTTAAAACATAAATATACTAAATGTACTGTTTAGTATTTCTAACATATAATACTAAATTTATATGCTAAAAGTGTTTATAGTACTTTGTAGTTGTGAAGTTAGAAGAATAGGCCATTCACAGTTGGGTGACTGGGTTACTGTCAGTTTGTTTTGTTTTTTTTTTTGTTCTATTATAGCTACTACGTTGACATTTATTTATTCAAGTACATTAATACCTACTCAGTTTGGTTCATAAATGTATATTAAAATAAATTCAATTTATAACAATTTATAAATAGTGTAATATTTACTTTATAACTAAATTGATTTTGTAAACAACACTCAGATATGGTATAACTATTACATGTACTGTAACTTCACCATTAATTCCTTAATATTATAATTAAGTTTCGATCCATAATATTATGAAAATTAGTATCGATCAATACATAATTAAAATTTCATTGAGATATGGAATTCGTTCTTTGCTTACAAGTCACAAATCCTTTGAAGCATTAGTATATAAATTAACACTACATAAGTAATGTAAATAGTATGAATATGTCAATAATAAACTGAAAAGGAATAATGAACTAAAAGACAGATATTCTCTTTCTCTGCCCCTCTTCTCAGATGGTTTTCCAATTTGTTTCGGATTAAGCTTACACCATATAAAACTCTTCAAATTTAGCTTTCGACTTCTTCCACCTGTAGCAAAAAAAAGGGCACCCCTTCCTGGAGTTAAAATATTGACATTTACAGATTTACTAATGTGTACGGCCCGCTTGGATTAGTATCCGTTTAATTAACTTTCCATGTGGTAAGGTTGACTAATTTCTTAACCGATTTTTGTTAGTAAACGTATGTGTTTATATTAATGAATTGTTTTACCCAGCAAATTACTAAATACAATGCTAAATAAAGTATTGATTTATTCGAAAGTGCAATGATCTGATCTTTGAGAATTCTTAACTGAAAACAGACAGACAACTTTACAGTCTCTAAGTCACTAGTGTAGTTAGGATCTAGTTTATTGTTCTTATAAAAGAAATGAAGAATTAGTTATTTACAATATATGACTTTACATAGAAGAGAAATGGATTCATTTTTACTTTAAGTGCAGACTAAGAGAATTGAATTCGTGAATTTGCATAAATTTTTCATGGATGTCAATATTATACTAAATTATTGAAAATACTGCTACCAAAATGTAAATTTTATTTACTAACGTTTCGCTATTGAAGCGAAATATCAATTTTCCACTGAAATTATATACATTTTTCCTTTCTGACAGTATCACATAAATTATGCATGATGCCTCCATTCCAAGTTGCAGTTGCTCGAGAAACTGAAATGTAAAAGTGCACCAAATACTTTACATGGCGGAGTAGGGCACATGGATATATGGAAACGGAGTGCGCGTATGTGGCAGAAGTGCAGTCGAAAAACCAGGTGAAATGTGCACTTTATTCGCTAAAATGTTTTATTTATGACAAAATGTTGAAACTTAATATTTATTTTTCTTTCCTTTGCAAAAAATTTGTATGCACTTTGACAATGCGAAAAGAAAATGTCAATGAGCAACGATAAGAGTGCAAGACCTATGCAAATGATAAGATATGCTTTCAAGAGTTGAAAGAATATCGAATGAAATGAAATTGAGAAAATTAAATAAAAAAAAGACAATCTGGTAATAGTACTCACCTTCATCCATATTAGAGATGTCTCTGGTACGCCTTTTGGTGGGCCACACTCCAACAAAGCAGTTTCCCCTTTGGCAACTCGTGTGTCTTTAGGCTGGACACGAAAATCATCACGTAAGTCTGTGAATTTAAAATTGAAAAAAATTGTATATATAAATGTTTGCAATTCATAATTCTGATAAAAATAAATAAATTATAAATAGACAACAATAAATTCTTATTAAAAGTAAAACAGTTTAAGACCATTCGAAACACCTTCTGTGCATTTGTGTAAATAGCTTTGACATGAGAATAATTTATGTTGCCCATTTTTATTTGCGGCCACAATAGATTTTTCTTAACAGAGACACACAGAAAATATGAGATAAACTATTTCGGTAGTAGACAATAGTGGGTAACCAAAAGCCCGGACTCACAAAAGTGGGCGCAACAGACGAAGACAATGGTTTTCAGTGCAAAGCAATTCAACTAAATCAGATTCATTTCTATTGAGAGACTTGGATTTCATGTTGGAGGCGGTCTATGCCATTTATGTGCGGTTTCAATACATTTTTCAAGTCACTCAGTGAAGAAGAAGAAAACTAATAAAAAAAATTGGTAGAAAAAAAAGAATCGTGCCCAAATTGTCAGTTGCCGCAATTGTTTGCATTGAAGGCCGGCTTTCGCGCTTTGTTGGCTTTTTGGGCCTAAGACTTTGCGGTACTCAAAGGACTTGACATTTTGGCCATGTGTTGCCGGCAGTACACAAATATTGGTGGCATGCAAAAGGTGTTGCTTAGAAATTATTTCCTTTCTGATAAAAATTTTTTTCTTTTTTGTATTATTGCATTCTCTTGAATAAATGAAAGGCTTTAAACAAAAGGTGGGCGCACGAAATAAATTAAATAAAGTGGCGACATTTGTTATGATTTATGAGCAGTAAAATTGCAAAATTATTTTATATTGAAAGAAAAATGGCAGAGCAACATAAAATGCGGCGGCATATTTTTGACGTGGAACAGTTAACCTTACAGTTGGGTTGTTTATCAATTTAGATGAAAAATGTACAGCAATGTGAATATTAGAACAATAAACTTCAAGAATATATAAAAAAGATATATGTTTCAAACATAAGGCACATTGCTAATGGGTTTCGGCTTAGCTTTACCTTTGTTTGCACTGAGCTTAAATCTTCTTTTTAGTACTTTTAGCTTTATTTTATTTTATTTGTCAGTGAATATATCTTATATGAGGATACATTTAAAATAAATTAAGGTTAATCGTTTTTACAAGAGATTTTAAACAAAATTATTTTTCATATTACAAGCAATTCAATACACACTTTATTTGGTTTATTTCGACAGGAAAGTTTACATCGGATTTGATGAGACTTTATAAGAGATTCCCTGCACAGCGACATCTACAAGTGAATGATGGAGGGTTTATATAGTTAATGTCGCTGTGAGCTAATGTAATGATATTTTGTCTATATTTTGTTGTTTCTTGTTGTACCATAGCATTAAGCGATCCATTAATATTTGATTGGAAAAATGAAGCCTTCCTATCGACCATCTATCGCAATATTTCAGCAAGTTCACTTGACATTTCACTGTGACTTGAAGTATTGTCACTTTTTGTGCTTCAGTCGTGAAATCAATGAAGTTACAACTATTTTCTTCAATTCAAAAATTATAGCTCATAGCGAATTCGGTACAGATGTCAGTTGCTCATCAAAAAATATTTACTACAAGAGTTGGAAGAGCTCGAACAGAATATCGGTATCTTTCGGTGGAAAATTAAGATAATGTTGAAAGTTTTTCTCGATTCGAAAGGAAATTAATACAGTCAACTCTTTTCAAAAATTTAGACGGTGAATACAGAATATTATCAGGAAGAATACGATGAATTTGGCCGGAACATCAGTAAGCAGGCAATTGGCTTTTGTTGTACGATAATGCACCATTATACGAAGCCATTACGGTCACCAAATTTTCAAGAAGGGAAATTTGGCATCAGCCTTTTTAATCATCCGTTGAATTCACCTGAGCGTATTCACTTGATATATCGGTTTGACCAGATAATGTTATTTTCTATATTTAAGTCGAAAGAAAAAAGGGTACGCTTTTAATGGAGAAAAATTAGGGCACATCGCAAAAAAACCTTTGTGACCCTATCGATTAACCACCATATTTACTTACACACCTTTGCTTGTTAGGACAATGCAGGATGTTTTCGGCGCTTTTAAGGATGTTTCTGAAAGAGAACTGTCTCTAGAATGTTAGTTGGTGGATGCAGATTATTATCTGAAAGATTACTTGTACGACAAAATCAATTACAAAAATTAGAAACAAATAATTTCTTCATATTGCTAGATAATACATCATCGCATAAGGCTATCATGGTACCAAATTTTTTGGTTCAGATGAATACCGGTATGAATACCGTCCTTTTCTTAATTATTTTTCAAACTCATTTTGATGATAAAAGGAAATTATTTCGATACTACTCCGATTATTAAAATGATTTCGACCGATATTCTGAAAGCAATTTAGTTTTTTTCATTAATTGGAGTAAGTTTACCCTTTGTGATTGGACACTTCTTTTAAACGGACAAAAATTCATTGTCAATCAGTATTCGCTCAAGAGAGTTTTCAGTGGATTAATGTAATTAAATATGAAGTTAGCTAGGAAAAAAAATAAGTCACTAATGCTGACGTTGTTATCTCTGTTCTTATTATATTAAAAGTATATAAATATATGCTTGCATGCGCTAAATATCAAAATTGGTTAAAAGTATATATAATATATTTATTTTAATTTTATTCGCTACAAATAAAAATAGTCTTTATTATACATATATTAGGATTATACTATATCAGCAATCTCTGATAAGTAAATTAAAATGCATTTACTAAATGCTTATTATATTTTTTTTATTGTCAAAATAAATTAAAACCATATTGAGGTACTCGTATGTCTGTATAGATTTATTTTTAGTTTTATTGCAAGATTTCGTTACACTTTGAATTAATTAAAAGCACATAAATTCATTAGCGGAACTGCAAAATGCTGGACAACCCCTGCAAGGATTGCCAGAAGAAATACAAGAGCAATGGAGCGCTAGAAAGCATCTTTCAAGATTTTTAAGATAAAGTGCAAAAGCAATGAAATGGCAGATACTGCGGGTAAAGTGACGGGTAAAGATGCAAATGCTGCATGTCATAAAGTTCAATTCAAACGGCGTTTTAATTGCTGCGTTAATGGAGTTTCGCAATAAAAATTAAAGACTGGAAATTAAAACGATGAGTTACTCAAACCCCACATACGGGAAGTGCAGAACTTCCTCTTAAGTGTTTTGTTTGGTTACGCATTTAAGAGCACACAAATTACATACTAAAACTAAAATTTAAGTGCGTACACACTTAAACGAGTTTGTGGAAACAAGTTAACACTGTAAAAGCGTAAATGCAAGTTGCAGTCGAAGTGCAGTCAAACGAATTGCTGTTTTGGGTATCTAAGACAAATTTTTTATTGCTACTATAAAGCATAATTAAGATAGGCTGTTTATGTTTGACAACTTGAGTTGATGTAAAATTAGTGTCGCGATAGTTACGAGTAGGAAAATTTGAAGATTTTGTCTGTTTTGATTTTCATTTAGTGCAGAAAATCCCACTTCCCACTCGTTCAAATGCAATATGCAAACTTAAGTATTTAATTTTGTGTAGTAAAAATGTTTTATAAGCAAATATGTTAGTTGAGTTGTAAGTGCTGTGTTACCATAAAGACCGGAAATTCTGTAGACTGTGTAAAATGGAAGTCTTCAATGTAACCAATTGCAGGCAGCAGGTAAAGTAAACTCATTAAACACGCATTCCATGCTGCATTGAATTTTACGAATTCCTTGTTTTTGCTTAATTAAAATATTAAATTAACGTCACGTGAGTGGAGTGCGTGAATTTGTCTGCCTCAAGTATGAGAAGCAAGGATTGGATTGTGGAAAAACAGCCAAATAGTCTTGTACCTGGAGTGGTAAAGATACCGGCAGAAGTAGGTGTCAACGCACGTTTAGTAAGTGACATGTGTCTGAGTATTTCTGTTGTGGTTCTAGAATTTAGCGCTGTGTAATTAACATAAATTTATAGTTTTACTGTTTTGTTGGGTATGAAGACTTATTCACATGCAAATGCATTTATGCTTAGTGTTAAAAATGGCATTACAAATAAAGAATATAATTAGGAGTGGTTGTTTAAATTACTGCAATTATTAGTTTCAGTCTTGAAGCAAGGGAAACTATTACATACTAATTGCACCATTTATGGACACTCCTTGCAGTATAGGTATAAGCTGTCTAGCAGGAAATAGGAAGTTAAAGTTTATTAGATTGCATAGTTAACTAACATTATGCAATAATAACTTAAGAACAATGTGTAATTGAAAAAAAATTACAACAATGCTGAATAATTATTATTATTTAAGTTAACTTAAATTCAAACTTAAACTCAATAGCTTTATTGAGAATACTTTGAAATACTGGGTTATTTGGAAAGTAATCTCGTTTTTTGACCAGAGATGGTTTTGCTGTATTTTTTCACAGCCAATTTCAAAACTTCAAAAAGCAAGAGATCATGAAGAATCAATTCAACACCAGTAGTTATAACATACCTTCTGCTCAAAAAGTATCCGGATTTTGTTGTTTGTTAACTACTCCTTCAGTGAAATTTTTCAAAAATTTTTTTTTTGTATGTAGTACACCCTTTTTTGACATATGGTACAAATTTGAGCGCCATCTGTCAATTAGTTTGTTTACAGCAGCTGTTAATGTGAGACTACCTCAAGTGCATTTAGCGATTTTTACTATGGAAAATTCTTGTTGTACGCGATTTTTTGACCAAACACGGCACCACTGTCTTCGCTCAGGCACCATATTCGCCAGATCTGGCGCCGTGCGACTTTTTCCTGTTCCCGAAACTCAAATTGCTCCTTCGTGATAAGCGTTTTGAGTCGATTGAATCGGTAAAAGAGAATTCACTGAAGGAACTGAAAGCCATACCTGCACGGGCCAACGAAAATGGAATGGAAGATTGGGTTAAGCGTTGGCATATGTGTATCGCTTCAGAAGGAGCATATTTTGAAGGAGATAA